AATATGGTTTTATTTGCTGAAAATATCGCCGATGGAAGATGTATCTAAAGATGTTCTAGATCGCTTGGGATGTAAAGCAGCTTGGGTCATACTTACAGAGAACAAAAGTAAGATTTATCAGACGATGGCAGAGCAAAGTAGATCAGATCGCAGAACTTTCATAGACGTAAACTATAGTAAGTTAATAGAAACAACTAAAGAAATGGACAAAACCAACTAACATTCAGGATATTGTTCTGAAGCTATTTTCTTGTGGCATTTTAAATTAATTACCATTTAACTGGGAATAAGCCACAATTAACAGTATTTTTATCTTTAATTGTGGCTTATTCCCAGTTAAATAGTAATTAACATTCAGGAGTTCGAAAAATATATTGGGAATTCATTGAAAGATACAACAACAGCTGACATCAATATATTGAACAAACAAATAGTCAACACAATGCAACAGGCTCAAACTAAATATTGTCCGACAAGCAAAAAAGATGAAAAACTGAGTCAACCCACGAAAACCCTTATAGAACTAAGGCGACAAATGTAAGGAGATAATACTGCAAGCAAAGAGGCGATAAATCAAATAAATAAGACGATCACAAAGGCAATAAGAAAAGACATAAGAAACTACAATGTAGAAAAAACAAAACAGGCAATAGAGAAAAATATGAACATGAAAGTTTTGAAGAGGAGCGTACAAAAGGGGAAAATAGAAATTAACAAACTGAAAAACAGAACTGGAGAAGAAACAACGAACAGAGATGAAATATTAAGAATAGTCGAAGAGTTACAATACGGAACCTCCAATTACACTAAAAACTGGGGTATTAAACCAAGGATCAGATTTAATGCCCAATATAACAAAATCAGAAATCAAAGAAGCCCTGAAGAAAATGAAAAACAATCGAACCCCGGGTGAAGATGGAATAGTATCAGAAGCACTAAAAATTGGAGGAGATGTATTACTTTAAAAAATTAAACAACTTTTCAATATCTGTCTTCACAGCGCCAATATTCCAACAGACTGGAAAAACGCTACTATGATTCTATTACACAAAGCAGGAGACAAAGCAAATTTAGAGAATTACAGACCGATTAGCTTCCGCAGCAATATATATATATATATAATATATATATATATATATATATATATATATATATATATTATATATATATATATATATATATATATAATATATATATATATATATATATATATATATATATATATTACGCGAATACTAGTTAAGAGAATGGAAAGAAAATTAGAGACTTATCAACCAAGGGAACAGGCAGGATTCCGAAAAAGTTACGGAACAAATGACCATCTACAAAGTATAAAAACCCTAATAGAGAAAGCAGTGGAATACAATAAACCTCTAGTTCTAATATTTATCGATTTTCACAAAGCCTTTGACACAGTTGAGCTAAGCAAAATATTACAGGCGCTTAAAGAATGCAGGCTAGATTATAGATATACTAAATTATTATACAAAATATACCTGCAGGCAACAACCACTGTCAAATTACATACTAACAGTAATCGCATAAAAATAGAACGGGGGGTTAGACAAGGAGACCCAATGTCACCTAAACTTTTTAATACGGTGCTAGAACATGCTTTTAAGAATTTGGATTGGATGACAAAGGGAATAAAAATAGATGGAGAATATCTAAACAACTTACGTTTCGCCGATGATATACTTATAATATCTGAAGATCTAGGTATGGCAAGAGAGATGGTACAGGAACTCGTTGTGGCTACAGAAAATGTAGGTTTAAATATAAATATCTCGAAAACAAAAAATCATGACCAATTTGGTGCCCAACCAGAACATCAGTATTGGTGGGAAAGAAATAGAACTCGTAGAGAGATATAAATACCTGGGACATGAAATTATGATTGGCAGAGATAACCAGACTCATGAACTGAAGAGAAGAGTCGGCATTGGGTGAGCAGCATTTGGAAAACTGAGAGAAACTTTTAAAAGTGAGCTGCCCACATGCCTAAACAGAAAGGTATTTGATCAGTGCGTCCTCCCAGTCTTGACGTACGGAGCAGAAACACTTACCTTAACAAAAGCAGCAGCTACCAAACTGAGAGTCACGCAGAGAAGAATGAAGCGGTCCATGTTAGGAATAACTCTCCGAGACAGAATATCAAACGAAGACATCAGGAGAAGAACCGGAGTGACTGACATCATCGAGAAGATAGCCAGACTAAAATGGAGATGGGCAGGAACACATAGCCAGAATGACAGATGGGCGATGGACAAAGAGGTTATTGGAATGGAGGTCAAGGGAAGACAAGAGAAGCGTCGGTCGACCACCTACAAGATGGACTGACGATTTAAGAAGACTCAATAAAAACTGGATAAGAGCGGCGCAAGATAGACGGGGTTGGAAACATGAGGAAGAGGCCTATGTTCAGCAGTGGACTCATGAGGCTGGATGATGAATGAAACTATAGTTTAAGATAAATAACAAGTGTTGCCAACTGTATACGAGTGTGTGCTGATTGGGTCCTTTAGAACACATGAATAATCTCCTACATAACTGTTTTTGTGTTGTTATAGAGTATTAAAAAGCTGTAGGCTCCTCACCTAAAGACAATGTTTATATATATCTATTGCAATAAGAATTTATTGACTTTAACCACAACTAAAAAATAACTAGATCAAAGAGTCTTTTAAAAATCACGAATCTAAGAAAGTCTGTTAAATATAAATTATTGAAAGAAATGCTCCGCCTTCGCCGTTTGCTATAATTTAAAAATACAATACTGATACCATCACGGATTGTTACCGTGACGTGCTTCACAATTCGGGGTTTATTAATAACATTCGACCTTAAACCGCGGTTCAAGGGTGGGTGGTTTCAAGGAATAGATGTTTTTTATGCAAATCATCAGACTTCCTTGAAAAACTTTAAAAGATGGTTTTTGTAATAACCAACAAAATAACATTAAAAGTAAACCTAAATCACTGCTGGGGACATTAAAACAAAGAGGGAACGATTGATGAGTTCTGATAATCGTGAGGGTTGTACAAGAAATCTTAAAAAAGAGGCCAAATATGTTAACGACTTGATTCTTGTATTGGCATGATTCGTTCTGGTATAGGTGAGAAATTCATTACATATTATGTACTGATTTGTTGTGGATAATTATATCTTCTCTTTGCTCCTGAAGTTTGTTGTTAGCTCCAGAATAAAATACCTTATATTCTATTGTAAGTTTTTCTAAACCAGACCATTACGGGCATTTCAATTATTCCTATTATGCCAATGAATATCTACCCTGATCATTTTTTGTTTTAAATTAACAATTATTCCTGCATTCCTTGTGCTGATGTTTAATCTTTGGGTAAAGGCAGTTTTGCTTTTTCGTCACGAAAGTTTCGTATATACAATTATTATCGTATATTTAATTGTAATACCATTACCATCTAGTTTTACTAGAGAATCCAGAGGATTTTATTACAGTGGTTTCTCTTTGTCCTTTGTATCCTCATTCTGTTAACCATTTTATTGATACATTCACTTTCGTGATCGATTTTCAGGACAAAAGACTTGCGCTTTCAACTAATGAATCTATCAAAAGATATTAGCCAACAAGTGGGTGACGGCTTATACCGGCATTATACCGTGAAGACTGAATACATTCCGCAGATATCCAAAACTTTTCAGACAAAAAAATATGGTCAATAGTCTTATAATGGTGTTCAAAGTGATCTATTTTTTTAAATATCCTTAAATGCTTTGGTAGGACATGGGACAAATGTGTCCCAGTAGTGTTTTATATTGGGACCAATGTGTCCCATTAGTATTACATGAATACATTTTAAAGGTAATTTTATTATTGAAAAATATATAAAATCACATGAAAAAATTAACAATGATGTGAAAAAACGTGTCTTACATAATGGTAAATCACGTGCGATACAAATTGGTTCGTAGTGATCAGTTTATTTATTCTTTTTAGCACTTTGGTGTTGTGCAAGTCTTAGATTAGTGCAGCGAGCGATATGTACAAATAAAGACCGCGGAAACAACTTTATAAACACAGCCAAGTCACTCGAAACTCGTCCAACATTTAAAGTGACTACTCCTTGATTTGGAATATCTTGTTTTGGTTTGAACTTCGTGTATGGTTGTTTCCACATTACCAAACCAATCTGGTCGTCATCTGGATCTGACTTCTCCTCCTCCTTTTCTACAGAATATATCCTTTCGAGATATCTTTCAAATATTTCTCATTGGAATAATATATACATTAAAATTATCTTCTTGGTGTGCCGTAACCAATTTTAAGCGTAGGCGATTCCTCCGAACATATGTGATTGTATCATTAAGTATACACAGATCTACGGACCTAGGGTTGAACGCCGAATTCTAACGACTAAGCGTAGAGGAACTGTACTAGATAGATTACGAGTTTGTGAATTGTTAGGGCCTTTACAACCCACATCATTATCCAACAAAGGTTAACACACACTTCTTAGCTAACTTGGTTTGAAAGTGTGATAAAAGGCAAACTATTCCCTCTAGTTCGAACCAATATACTTTTTAAAACTTTATTTTAAATATACTTACTGATGATGCATTCTTGTCTTTTTTAGGTATCTAGCAAAAAGAGAACGCACATCAGTAACTAACATCCAAAATCAAAATCAATCTGTTGTCCAAACTATTTTAGAAAACCAAAGCTTTGCTACATAAAGACTAAATCGTACAAAAAATCGACTAATCTTCAACGAACAAAAATGGTATGCAACACGTTTGAAATAACGGTACTACCTAATATGGCCTAGTGTTCTATCAACTCCGATACAACCAAAGTAGAAACCGAAATCGGCTTCTTATCAGCATCTTAGTAAGGTTCAAACGACACAACGACGTTTCTTAAGTGCGACAATATTGTGTGCTTCCTCAGGGAGGTTGCCATCAAACTGAAGAAGCACGAGCAAGAGTACGATCTTCTTATTGTCGATTACGAGCCTTCTCTGATGGAGAACTCGGAAGCGGACGACGAAACAGGTTGGAACTGCAGTGTCCATCCTAGCGTATTCTTTCTCTTAGGTAAGTTAATTTTACGTAATATGTGAATTTCTCAAAAACATAGTTTTCAACAAATTTTCGTTTGATTAAATATATTCTGCAACAGAATCTAATCTAGCAGTTTTTATTTAATTTTAGGTCTTCTTCTTAGCCTTCTTTCACCCATTTTTGGTCATAGGTCTCTACCAATTCCGTCCATCGATCTCTATCCTGACCAAAAAATTCCGATTTGTTCTTTTTATGTCGTCTACCTTTTGGTTCTATGTACCTGTCTTCCTCTTGGTCGTCTATCTTTGTAAGGTCTCCAATGTTGTATTGTGGCGATCCAACGTTGATTTTTTTGTCTAGCAGTATGACCTGCAAAACTCCATCTTAGTTTGGAAATTTTTGTTGTGATATCCTCAACTTTTGTTTTTGATCTTATCCAATCGTTAAAATTTTTATGAAAATTGTATACCTAATATTACTCTTTCCATTGCCCTTTCTGTTGTGGCTAGTTTATTCATATTTGCCTTGGTTAGGGTCCAGGTTTGACATCCATATGTCATGACAGGAAGGATGCACTGGTTGAACACCTTGCTCCTAAGTATTGAAGTATTTTGCGGTTCTTCAGTATCCAGCTGAGTTTTCCAAATCCTGCCATGCCAGTCTTGCTTTTCTAGTGATTTCCGCACTTTGGTTTTCTTTGTTAAGTTTCATAATTTGACCTTGATATTCCTAGACTTACTCTATCTCACTGCCATTTATAGTTATACGTCTTGGATCGGCAAGGTTGGTCATTGTTTTTGTCATATTAATTTTAAGGCCGACGTATTAGGATATGTCTGCGAGTTACTTCATCATAATTTGTAATTCCTCGAATGTGCTTGCTATAATCACGATGACGTCAGCGAATCTGAGGTGGTCTAACTTATTGCCATTATCATTGATGGCGTGTGTTGACCAATTTGTAGTTTTGAAATGTCTTCTAGGGCTAAATTAAAAAGCTTTGGAGACATTACGCCGCCTTGTATTTGCCATACGCCATTATATATTAGTTGCCTATATCTGGAATCTATTCTACAATTATTAATAACTTATTAAATAATTCACATCTCGATACTATGCCTTTTCATAGTCTACGAAGACTAAAAATATGTGTAGTTGGTACTCATTTGCCTTCTCTAACAGTATTCTCATTGTTAGTAGATGGGCTGATGTACTATATCCTTTGCGGATACAGAATTCTGTCTCCGGCTTCCGTACACAATGTAGCTTCGCCTATTTTAAAAAAATTTAATGTGTTTGTCCTTGTGTAGTGTAATGTGATGTACCATTTTATGTTTATAACATTTTATTTTTGTCGGATAGGCCACAATTGACGAAATGCCCCTGACGATGATCTATTGATCGAAAGTACTTGGGCAAGATTAAATTAATTAAACTGGGCTCGATATTTGCCTTTTATTGTGATTAAAATTCATTTATTCGAGCATTCAACCTTATATTAATTTAGGTTAATTTTTGACTATCTTACTATAATAATAGTTGCCCTTATACTTCTAGAGCGGCTTTGGGATTATAGCAGGATAATCGATCTCTTGGGCAACATCTTACTAAAAGTTTATTTACAGTTACATATTTACCAGTAGTTGTTCGTTGATTCAAATTTAATTTTTAGGAACTTTAGTGCTAACAACTTGTGCAACGGGAATGCTTTGCGCAGCCATTATGACCGACCATTGGGAAGAGGTGACGTGGGACAAAAACGGTGTAGATTTTTTGGCTAATGGCACAGTTAGAGTACAGTGGCTACTCGACAGGACTGTTGCTAGGATATCAACGAACGAACGAGATAGAACGATAGCATTTTTAGTGCCAATGCATGGGGGAATTTGGACATTGTGTGTTAGTTTATCAGGTAAGATGATTTACACATAGATTCAAAAGTTTTATATCATTCAGTTTTAAAATTTTAAAGATATTTCCCGAAAACTTGATTATGGCTAATGTTTTTTTAAAAGATAATCAGTTTGTAACTTTTAAACGCGAAGTGGTGATTAGTATTTAATCTTGTTAGAACAAGAGTAGTGCTTTTGGTTGAACACGGGTATTCATAAAATACTATGGCTGAACGAACAGCTGTTAGTCAAAGTGATGTATCTTGTAACGTTCGTCACTTTCCAATTATAATTAAAAAATTAATAGTCTTTTATCAACACTATATTTCCGGCACAGGAATTCAACGTCATAAATATGATAGAGTGTGGCATGCGTAGAATGAAAGATTCGTAGCTGCACTAGACGAGGAATTTCACTTCGATGTAGACAGTCAAATTATTACAGCTTTTGTGACGAAAACTTTTTTGTCAAGAATTTATTTTAATTTAAGATGTAATAAGTTTGGAGAATATTGGTTTTTTTATTTATTGGAAGGGTCTAAAGAGTGTATTTTGGTTTGGTTTTTTCTTGGTGTTTGTAAGAGGTCATCAACATAACGCACAGCTGTCATATTGCTTAGAATAAACACAAGTGGTGATCGGCTACCATACGCAATAGCCCTCAAACCATTACTCCAACTGTCTGTGTGCATGAGACTCAACAGGAATCCCGTATCTCGTTGCTCTTCACGGCGGCGTCTTACCATCCTACGACTATCATGCATTCCTAAACAGAATCGTGACTCATCACTGCAATGCTGCCGTTCTCTACACCAATTGAAACGTGGATGACAGTAGTCCGCAGTAAAAGGAAGCACTACTAGTCGTGGGCGGAATGAAACCAGTCCAAAGGCTCGAATGCGACTGTATAGTGTACGCATACTAACAGATCTACCTACTACTCCAAACCATTGGTCAGCAATTTGCCGCGTAGTAGCAAAACGGTCTCGCAGAGACAGTAATCTAAAGCGCCTATCTTGACGCTCTGTGGTACGCCTCGGTTGACCAATTGGTCTTCTTCGTGTTCCTGTATCTTCGTTTGTCCACACACAACAGACACGCGTAACTGTCATTGACGTACAACTCCATATCCCTATACGCGATAATGCTACCCCTGTCAAAATCACTAACATCGTGGTAATTTTGGAGTCTTCGAACTCGAGGCACTTTCTTACACTGAATGCAATTTGACTGAGGGATAATAACTAAAAATTTCTATACGAACCGGTTTTCACAAATCGGTCTTTTCCCAAAAAAATTTTTATTTTACAAAAATGTGAAGAATAAAACGTGGGTAATATCATAGCATATTTTAAATATAGTCAAGTTCAAGAAATTATTCCTTCTGGGTGTAACACTTCTAATGTCACTGAGTATAATGATGGATAATCTAGAAAATAGTTATGAAGCTTGTTTGCGCCGCAATTGTGCACATGTTAGATATGTAAATTAAAAGTTCACTTTCGGTACTGTTTATTTTGGCATAAAATGTATAACATGAACACGAAAAAATCCTACTACAGCAGTGGAAGCACGGAGCTTTAATGGGAGGTGAGACATGTACTTAGCGTTAATGTATTTGTTTCGTCACTACGAAGATGACTGGTGCAAGCAGTTAAGATATCAGCGATCACTAAGTGTTTCTCAACTGCAATGTGAAAACCGTTTGCTTGATAAATCATACTTCCCCCATCCATTCATTGTCATAGAGACAACCAATAAGAGCTGTCCAGTTAGCCCATAATCATCCTATTCCTCCATTTGCAGGAGGAAGCAACATATTTTGGGCTGGTATTATGGCTGACGAACTTCAGTTATTAAAACAAAATTACGGGTGAAAGGTAACTATATCAGGAATATTCTACATGATGTCATTAGACTCTAGCGAGGAGCTTGGGTAATAATTTTGTATACATGAACAATGAAATGCACATACTTTCGTACGGGGTGGTGATTATCTTTAAGGTGAGGAATCAACCGTTTAGAATATCTTCTGATATGAAGCATATAGAGCATGATTTTCAAAAGCTTTAAAATTATTTAGCATACAGTAGATGACAACAATTTATTAAGTAGTTCACTTAGTAGTTTTTCTACGAATGAATCATATACCATAAACTTTCTTCAATTATCAAATCATCCACCTACTATGTTCTTTTTACTTCGTAAAGATATAGTGAGTTTATACCATTGAGTTGACCATTGCCGTCCAATCCTTTTATCCTTGTGCATGTTGTTTTGTTTCCAAGAATCAGTAATAAGTCAGGTTTTTATTTTTGTGTGTCAAGTGTGTTTTTTCTCTAAATAATTCGCCAGTTATATTGCTTTTAACTATCGTTATTTCATACCTTTTCTTCTACTACTAATCTCAGTGTACTTTGAATTATAGTTGTAACGAGTATATTAGTAATAGTAAGCTCTAATAGGAGTAAGTTATTGGGGACACTTGTTAAAGTTCCAAAATGTCCCCGTGTCTCACTACCAAAAGTAAGTTACTATGAGATCTAGTGTAATCTTTTTCTTGACTTCTCTGATGGTTTCTCAGTGATTACAGCAGCTCTCGCAGGAAATTTTGTAGATCTACGAGACTTAATGTTGGATAAATCCTCTTTTTCTAGTTCATCTGCTTCCAGAAAACGTGCATGAGTTCCCAAGGACACAGCAGTTTGATAGTATATGTATAGAGGTTTCATCCTCTACTACCCAGAACCTGCATTCTGTCATATTTTTTATATGTAGCTGCTATTTAAATCGACAATGGCCTGTAAGTAATCGATTTAAACTAGGTACACTTTTTGTTTAAACTAATGCAAGTTTTAGATCCTCTATGATTATGGCTTCTTAGAAATACTTTGGACTTGAAAGGTATTTTTCACCTATTTTGATAAATTATTAGGTAATTTCGCTTCCCTTCACTCCGTTATATCCCGCAAACTATAAAAGGGTAAGAAATGTTCATTATTTAGTTCATTTACTTTCGTTAAACATTCCGATATCACTGTATGGGATCAAATGTGATTGTAGTGCTTCACTAAGGGACAGGCTAGATAATGTTATCTAGGATTAGAGGACCACAATAGATCTGAAATGCCACCACATTGAAAATCTCTCGTCTCTCTTATGTTTTGTCCAAGTTTTGCTTGTCGCTTCTTTCAATGGCGTGAGTTTCCCTTTAAAATATGCTTAAGATTTTACCCAGGCTTCCTGGGTGTTTAGTTCTGTAGGTCAGTATACTGATATTCCAGTTCCTTCCTGTTTTAAAAATGAGTTCTATTAATTCAAAATCTTTTATAATCACTTGTACGTGTATTGATGCATCGATTTTTATGCCTCTTATTTTGTTTCAGATGAAGAAATAAATCTACTGGGTAGGGTGGGTTTTCCGACCGTCCAGTCATGTGTCAACTATTTGTCTGGTGGAATAGATGGTGTAAGAGGATATGAACCAAGAGCTGATTGGCAACACCGTAAGTAATTAATTTAAGTCATTAACTGACCTCAAGCTACAAGCTTCAATCATTAAACTCACAGGCCGAAGAAAACGCTATCAAGTAAACTGACTTTAGTTGGCAGTGAAACTTATGGCATTGTGTCCTTCAGTATGTTTTTGTTTTGTAATGTTACGTTTATTTGTCCCACAACGTATGCCACTCAAAACTAAGTAACACAACCTGGTCTGACCTTTGAACAATAGTTTTACTAGGTTATTCTTTATTTTTTCTCAGACCATTTTTTCTTATATCATCATCCTCTTCTCAAGAACTTTCCAACCATCGATGTTGCAAAAGTTTTTCCCAATATACACTCTCTTAGCTTAGTCAAGTGTATAGTATGCGTACTACTGTACCGCTATTTGTTAAGTAACCGTATACATGATGTACGTATATATAAAATACCGTAAGCAATGCTCTCGGTTTTCAGTCGATTTAGCTCAATCAATCGGTTACTCATTTCTTTTAAACGGCAACGAAAAGTATTAAAAATCGAACGAACGATTGAAATGATTCGATCGTATTCGGAGTCGGTCACTGATTGATTTGGTCATCGTAAAATGAATGATTAAAATAACACTAAATATGACCACTACGTTTTTTTACAACACGAGATATGGCAATTAAATTACCAGATTGGACCTACAAAACATTTTATTGATCATCAATTATATTACAAAGTTTCTTAAGCTTGGATTTTATCTTTTTACCTTAGAAAATAAAAAAGTCACGGGGTTCAGAAGAATCGTTCTGGACCGAGAATTTTTTGCATAATTTTTTCCCAAACTTTCTGTATGTCCAATGATTCATGCAAAATCTGATTTACTTTCTTTGTTAATTTCTGATATTTCAGCAAGAGCTCTGGACATTCAGACGACGATTTTTGACAATCAATTGAGCAATAGGTTGAATAAGCTTTACATTCTATTAACAAATCAGAATAATCGTAGGCTTCGTCAAGTAAAGATCTGTCCCTTATTCTCCCTTAACTACTTAACATTGAAAAGAACCTGCACGTGCTGTCAAATAATGCATTTTGCTCCAGAATTGTTACAACAGGAATATCGTTATTTTGATTCATCTTTTAACCTCTAGTTTGTCGAAAAAAACTATCCATCTACAGAAGTGAATATAGCAGAAGAATTATTAACTTATCTAGATTATTTTCATGTATTATATTTTTTACAGGTATGCAAAACTTGTCAATATCATGCGCCCTAGTCTGTCTCATAATTTTGGGTAGTGCTGCCCTAATCGGAGCCTTTGGGGTCTTCCAGCATCAGATAAGTGCCGTCCTAGTTACAGGAGTAATGTATTTATTAGCAGGTAAAACAGATTTTTTTTTATATACACAGAAAATCTCGCTAGACCAATGGAACCTCCGTTGTACACCGAATCAATTATTAACTAACAAACAATAAGTGATTTTCTCACTTGAGAAATATGATCATCAGATGTGGTGAAGTATGAGATGTCGATTGGTCATTAACTGTCTATTATATCGCTGAAACTAACATCGAAGGTTTAAAGTTACATTGGTTCGCCACTTGAGCTCGAAAAATATAGAAGAAGCAAAGATTAGTGTAATAAATAATAGTAGGATTTTCAGTAGTTAAGAAGTACTTAGCTGCTATTAAGCAGCTGGACTGAGAATATAGTGTAGATATTCTAGGGGATTCCGCCACACATAGGGAAATCAATTTCGTTACATGTGTAAGAGTGAGAACGATATATGTTGACGACACAAGCCCCCCCCCCCCCCAATATGGTCGCCGCCATTACTTCGAAGGAATCTACTTAACCCACTATCATAGTTTAATTTTTATCCGCTAGTGGATGCCTCCATGGAATTCAAAATTCGAAGATTTAATTAATTAATAAAATAGCAGGTTTCATGTTATATGAGAAAATTCGAAACAGATACCTATAACCGATTTACAAAAGGTGAACAAGTTGATTAACAGGTTTGTTTAATAGAATTATGGAGGAGGAAAAAGTCATTTAAATGGAGAAGGCATATCTTAGTACCTATGTACAAAAACTACTTGTAGTGAAAACATGTTTAAGAACAATTGAAAGTCGGATAAACAAGGAAACTGAAATATCCCAAAATCAGATCGGATTTATATTAGACAGGAAAAACAAATGCAAACTTCCGTATAAGGCAGTTAATAGAAAATTAGAAGAATCATATGGTATTAATTGATCTTGAGAAAACATTTGATCCACTAACAATTAGTGTTGAGACAGGTGTTGCAAAGACCGATAAATTTCATGTGAAAATAATATTGCATCAGAGCTCGGTGCTCCTTATTTATTCTCATTAGTGTTGAATCAGATAACAGAGAAACTGCAGGGTGGTATTTAGTGTATTGCTGATGATGTAGTATTAGTAGGCAATACTGAAAGGGATTTAGAGCAAGGGCTGGAACTTTGTGAAAAGAGTTTTAATAGTCTACGATATCTATTTCAGAATAATGGGGAAATAGATCGAGCAGCATGCAGTAGAATTAGAGCAAAATGGATTAAATGAAAGTTGTGTTGAGTGAGAAAGATTCCAATAAAACTGTAAGGAAAATTCCATAAAACTTCCGTAAGACCAACTATGATGTATACCATTTAATATTGGGACATTAAAAATAAGGAAGAGAACGGAATACTTGTAGTTTACATGGAACAGTTGAGTAGCAAAAATGAAAAAAATCAATACGTGTATATTAGAGAAAGTCTAGAGGCGGCATTAACTGATGCTAAAATGAAAAAGCATCGGTTAAGATGGTTAATGCATGTTCAACGCCGAGATGATAATCATCAAAAACGAACAATCGCTTAGTTGCTAAAATTTGTGATGAAATTTTACATTACATCAATTAGGTGGTAGAAATAAACGAAAGATTTGCTCCACAAATTAGGATGGCGATCTTACTAACATTTAGAGCGTACTAAGTATTGCAATAAATTCCAATTTGAAGGACCATCTACTACCGTGGGAAACAATACGTAATTTAAGCTATATAATAATAACTAGGTATACTCTATACGCGAGAGTCCAATACTCTTAAACCAGAAATGCGTCGAATTTGATCGAATGCTAAACTAACACTGACTAATATGCGAGAGTTGAAAACTCTATCCAAAACGTGATCAGCTAAGCTGAGATACAATGTGACACTGACGAATATGTGAGTTGCTAACTCCAACCAAGACGCGACCAGCTAAGCTGGCATACAATTTGACACTAACTACGTGACTACTTTAAAATTATCATTGCTTCACCTATCAGGGGTCAGGGGAAATTACTATTAGGTAGCTAAAACCTCCTTTTTAATGATTTCTAACGGGGATTTCCTAGGTACCAGTTTTCAATGGTTAAAACAGCTTTTGAATGCTTTATACCAGCGATTTCTTTGGAATTTGCTAGTAGAAAGTTACCTCAATAGATTTTATAAAATTAGAAATTGTTTGCCATCAGTGGCGTAGCAACAATTATGTATCATTGATTATTTTGAGTAATTACAAATAATTATTGTTATATTCTTATTTATGAATCTAAAAAAATTATTGATATTTTCATTATATTATATTAACAGGGATTAATATTGTCAAACAATCTATGTTTTATAGATAAAATAATTTATTGAAGAATTGAACAAAAATTACAGTAATAACCTATTTGTTATAGCCTCTTTTGCGCTTTTCACATTGACTATCATCCATTTCAAGAGGCTTCACAGCCGCCCCCACATGGACGAGTCCGAGGGAACGGTGGACGGAGTCGTTAGCCCCACCGGGGGCAAGGGAGTAAAAGACTTATTACCTGCTAGAGTGTTTACGACTTCTTGGTCACTAGATTTAGGCTGGGGAGGAGTTATGTTGTGTGTCATGACTTCTGTGCTTTGGATACTGTTGTCGAAAATAATGAGGTTTAATCCTATCTCCAGCATGATTAATTAAGTAATAAATTACCATAAGTATTGGTGAAAGGGTTATAAAAATCTTATTTTTATATTTAGCAAAGTTATTTTAATGTTTAATTAATATTAAGTTTATAAAGGCTTTTACATTTATTATATGGCAGGACATTTAGTACATCTACACATACTCATTTCCTTGAGTCGACAGGATTCAACTCCTTGAGTCGACAGAATTAAATGGAGTCCACATTGAAAAACTTCACCAAATTACACATTTAAAAACTGTCATAACGAACCAACTAGATCCAGACTTGAAGCAAAACACAGAATAACATTGAATGAATCCACTTTTCTGAAAATAAAGACATTTCTTTGCAATAATCATTTCGTTTAGAACTAAGACAAAGAATGAATAAGTCTGCATTCTTGAACGGAGCAGATGTGTGGAGCCTAAAAGTATCAAGTCTGGACGGAATAGAAGCATTTGAAATGTGAATTTATAGACGGATGTTGAAGACACCTTGAAAGGCAAGAAAAACTAACAAGAAAGTACCAAGGGGGATCAACAGAGATAGAAAATTATTAAACACCGGAAAATGCCTTAATCTGGGACATTATATTGAAGGAAAATCAATATAGAATGCTACAACAAAATTCTTAAAGACAAAATAGAAGATCAGAGAGGTGTAGAAAGCAAACAGATTCTTGGTTAAAAAGAGATTCGTGAATAGACTAAGATATCAAATGCAGGACAATTATCCCAAGTGGGAGATCAAGAAGCCTTCACAATGGCGATGAAGCCATGAGACTGAAGAATACAAAAGACAACCTGATCAAGGTCGTAAAATATGTACAGTACCAAGAGATGTCGAATATTTGAGACTTTAGTCTTTACCAAAGCTTACATTGAGCAAACTTCCAAGTGAACTGTTGAATTCAAGACAAATCAACATATTAGTCAAAATAGTAATAAGGAGATTTAATGAGGTTGGTTTAAATCCAAAGCTACCTGCATGAGTTTATCGGGTTGTTTCACTTCAAAAAACTACACGTTTAGAAAGGGTTATTTTACAGAGACACAATAATAAAACTATGGAAACGCAATTGACATAGTCGTTATACAGAAGATGAGGGGTACGTTTGGGAGCATGTAATTTTGCACACAATCTTATCTTTGGGGGTGGTTCCACTGTTATGTGGGTAGCATTAGTTGAGATCATGCAGAGCTCATCAAGAAAAATTTAAGAGTAAATACTGACTGGTATATATGCAACATACTTGATGTTTGACCTTATGTCAACTTTATTGGTTACAATCATTTTGTGTTAAAAATTGATAAAACCCAAACACATGCAGCAATATGCCGAGATTGCAGTTCCAGAGTGAACAGCATATACTCGTGACGCAAATTCCATAGAACATCTATCTATTGAGACACACTGAAAAGAAATATACAAGCAGGACATCCGGCTTCCAACATAGCTGCATATTAAGACTTCTTGTACAGGAGAAATAGAATAAAATTCGACAAGAAATATTAAGTATTAAAGTGTTATTATGCTGTGTTGTAATGTTCAAAATTAATTAATATTGTGTTTTCTAATTAAATGTTTTAGCCAAAAACAAGTGATTTTAATAATTTCTCCAAGAATTTGTGTAAAAAATTTAGTTTTTGTATAACTGTTCCACCAATATTTATCATATAAAAAGTATGTATATGAAATCTATTTTGTTTGAATGTTTTAGTTGCAGAACACCTCTACATTGTCAAAAACAAATTATAGAACATTCTCAGTGTATTTTAGTTCAATAAGATAGCAGTCTAGCACCTGAATTATCCTCACCTCCTTTTATGCCTCCCTCAGAATTTACATATTCATTTAGAAATCTTTTATAAAGGTATCTTTTTCTGCCATTTAAGAAATAGGTTTACAAATATCAATGTAGTCTACCCCTAGCATACTTCCACGGCCACAGTCAGAATTATCAACTATTCGTCTTTCTGGTTTGCACTGTGTTTTGATTTGGCGCTCCATGTGTGGGTTCATCCCAAAGATGAAAGGATCTTCGAGATAAATCTACACACTAGTTGACCAAACAAGAGTCAGTTCAGATAGGAAGATTAATAAATTCTTCATTGTATGCTACTTCCTTTCTAGTAACTTTACTCGTTAGCTAGTAATACCAGTCTTCCTCTCTTTCCTTTACATAATTTAGCACAAGGTGTATCTGCTACTTATGTTCAAATAGTGAAGGTTTGTATATAAATATAGTAAAAAAAAATAAGCATAATGTACATTAAAATCATTTCATAACATCTTCTTGTGCAGTGAAATAGGCAGAAATCCTTTAAATTTTAAGACTACTAGACTAAAATTACCTGATGCATGGAAATGATCACAAAGTCTTTTCATACACACAAAAAAACACAATCACATAGAAGTAATGGATTTTGACAAGAGCTATGAGTACATATGCCGATTTAGTACACAAGTTTACCTGTTATTTACAAGGTCATAGCTCTTGTTAAAATCCATTACCTATAAAAACAAACATTCACATTTCAACAAGGATGACTCATGCAACATACCTAGATGTATTGCTCTGCACATTCGGTAGTTGTGGTTGATAAAATAAAATTCAAAATAAGACCAAAGCAAACAAAAATGTCAGTCATGCTAACAACCATATCCCACTAATAAAATACAATAATTTCATTAAGCAGATAAAGAGTAAATATATTTAGTTATATATTACAACCAGTACTTAAAATCATATATCCTTATATAAGAGCAGGAGATGACATAGCAGAGAGAAGCACATAACAGCAACAACCAAAACAAAACATGATTGCACACAGTCGAGATGAAATTTCAGAAGTATGATTTCTGGAGGAGATATATATTGTTTAAAAATCAATACTAGTACATATATACAAAAATAATGATAGTTAATAAAACTAAAAGTAAAAATATTTTGATCTTTTGGTTGTTGAAAAATCTAAATGCCATACTCAGCTTGAATTTTAGATATTGATTCAGCACAAAAAAAATGGATATGTAACAAAAATAGTAAATTGGAAATCATTTTCCAAAGTGGAAATTGAAATGTCAATAAACTTACTTTAACCATCAATTGTGGTTTATTCCCATTAAAATAGTAATTATTTTAAAATGCCACGAGAAGATAGCTTCAGAACAATATTATATAATGTACATTTAAAAATATTATATGAAGGTTTTCTGACTGTTTAGACTGCGCTGACCAATGTACTCTTTAATGTATACAGCTGGCCTCTTGAAATTTTTGTTAAATCTACTTTGTGTTTTGTTACAATTTAACTTATGATTATTAAATTGTTTTAACTATTTATATTTTATAAATGACAGGGTGTTAATTGTTGAGAAAGTTTATATTAAACTAGGTAGAAAATAAAACCCAAATAGAGGTAATACTACTCTTATAGCTCAGTCCCTAAACATAAATAAGATAAAAAAATGTTGGAAATATATTTATTGAAAATCGGAAGTTTCTACAAATTTCGTATGAAAATTTTGAAGTTATCTCTAAAACAATGAAGGAAGGAAAAATGTGACACTTTTTTTGTATAATTTATACAGAATTACTTAAAAAAGTTGTTACAATTTTTTTGGTTGAAAAATCTGAAATAGGTGCATTTTCCTTCTAACTTTGTGAAAACTGTCAATTTGGTGTTGATCACCAGCATATTATGAACAGCATTTTATTTTTATGTCTGCTTGGAAGATAATAAAATGAAAAACGGGAGGAAAATCTTGCAGGAAGAAAATATTGTGACATTAATTGGCTGCCAACTAGCCATTAGTGACCATCTTGCCACTTGGTGGAAAAGACCTTTATAAGCAATATAAAAAAACAATGACTTACAATTATGATTAAAGATCAGTGAGCATCCTCATATTCATCCTGAGAAAAACTGGCTTTAGGAAAGAAACTCAAAAAATAGCTACCATATTTAGCCTTACTTGAATATGATTTCAGACAAATGGAGAAAAGTACAAAATATTTCAAATAATTATTGAAGATAATATAGCAGTTAAAATTGGCAATAGAAAAAGACCAAAGTTTTGACATGTGAAATATACCAGAGTAGTTTAAAAGATTATTAGAAATAATCTTCCTTCAAAACAACTGTTAATACAATTCAAATTGACAGTCTAGGAAAAAGGCTTGAATAGATCCAAATAGATCTACTATTTGGTATGTTAGTTATATTTGTTTATAGTTTGTATCACAAAAACAAATAATGACAAATTGTTTGATGTTAAAAGAGTATGTTACCTGTATTATAATTTATGGAACTTCCTACTGTATGTAGATTATCTAAAATAAGCAAAATAGATATATTAACTATTCAACATGTAATTTGATATTTTCTAAGACCAAGTACGGAACGTCAAGTAGTAAAAAACAAATAAAAGTTAAATATATTTCAATATATTTTTTATAGATAATAATAACATACAACCTATTTAAATTCTAGGTCTAATGGTAGATGATATAAAATATATTATTGAATACACCTATATTGCAAGAGATTGGTAACAAAAAGTTACTGACTTACAGTGGTTTACAAATAATCTACAGATGTATCTGTTTTACTTTACCGATAATCTACATTTCCAACAGATTTAGTACATTTTAATATCAATAGGATACAACTCACAGTTTAAAGACTAAATAAAACAAAAGATGTAATACAAGTATACAAAATCATTCTTACATTCACTTTCTATATATCGACTGTTCTACATCTACATATTTGCTGCCAATACAAAACCAAACTAACATTTCCATATTTTTTTAAGAAATTGGGGTCAGTTCAAAGTAGTCACATAAGTGAGCAACCCTAAAAACCCATTTTATGTTATTTTAACTGATTTTATACTTTTTAAAAGCTGCTTTGTATAGTTGTATTATTATAAAGCCATAGAGTATTTATGCTCAATTTTGTTTGCCAACTTTTGCAGATATTGATTCAGAACATTTTGGCTGAACACAGAACATGGTTTTGGATGATGGGATAGAGGCATAGGAATATAAGTTTTTATATATTCCTGGAAGTATATTTTTTATCTCAAATCACCAAAAAATCAGAATAATGAAGACATTCAATGTCTCCCAAAAAGCCTTTAAAAAGGGAGAAAGTACCAATAAGTACGTTAAATATAAATCTGGTATTCGATTCTTTACATCCCTATATTAGCAGGGGGTAAAAATGTAAATAGAATTCACTGAAACCAGATTTTATTGGTAACTTAACATTTTTTTTCTAAATTCTTAAGCCCTGTTAATTTTTTGAGCATCTAATTTTAAACAACTTTTTAAAATTACAAGCTATTGTAGGCAATTACCTACATTTTTTACAATATTTTATTCAGTATTAACATGTTGTATGTTGGTACGAAGTTCCGTAAACAACCTGTTAGAAATCTCCCCATAGAAAAAGAATGGGAACTGAAAATAAATTAATGCAAAATTGCCTTGAACAAAGCCTGAATGTTTTTCTAGAGATAAGGATAATAATGCTCGTTTTTATATGCTTATTTATTAATTACTGCTCGCTTTTTTGCATTCTGTATATTCTTGCAGTAAAGGTTACGAACGAAATGGACTTTTATTTTATAAATTAATAAACAAACTTACCTTCAATACTAGGAATAAAATTCAACACCTCAAATATATTAACAAAAATAAAAAACAATGTGGAAAGCGGAATTTGTGCAAAATGAAGGAGAACCGCTACGCTAACTCTACAGTTGCTAATCTAAGCCGGCGGCAAAATTGACAATGACATGAAATCATGAATGAATGAAAACCGAGTTGCTGGAACATCGATGTTGGAATCGATGATTCAAAACAATCGATAACCATGACCGGAGTGATAAGGTATGTTGGGGTCTGGAGACATTGTTGACTTCCGAATCTATTGTATACTTGCTAATGTTTTAATTAGAATTGATTAAACTGAATTTCTTAAATTATCCTAAATAAGTATTAATTTCCAATAATGATATAATTACTGTTAGTAAGTAGAAGCAACTAAATAACTTAGATTTTATTATTGACAAATTCGATATGATTGTCTTTTGACTTTATGAGCACCGCTCTTTTAACAAAAAGTCAGTTTATATACAATGATCAATACTTTAATAGAGTTTTCTAATTGAAATTATTTTTCTAAGAATTATTATATAACAGTCAATTATTATACAATATTGAAGTAGTACCTACTCCATGGAACCTGGTGTCCCCTTCCTTTTTCCATTTCTATTCAAAATTATCTCAACTAAATTTTTTATTTGAAACATTTTTTTCTGCAGATTTTTATACTGTCCCTCCTACGAGGGGGGTTTTAGGGGAAGCCTTAGGGTAGGAGTGGTTAACTTCATTGCATCTTTTTGGGGTTCCAAAATTAACATTCTCAGCTAAATTCAGCTTGTTTGTATGATGAATTTTTAGAAATCAAATCTCTGACGTAAAAAATGGCAAAAATAGCGCAAAAACATTTATTTATTTAAAATTTTTATACAAACTGACTTCATTTGGAGTAAAATACAAAAATTCGCTAATACTTCAGTATTAACGTGTATGTTTGTAAGAAGTTCGGAAGTCGCTTCAAGCGTTGTTTCTGAGAGAACTCTCCATTTTACACAAAAGTGCTAATATATTTTTTTTTCAAATCTCAGCTACACTTTTTTATTTATATTTATTTATAACATTTTTTCTACGGCATACAGATTCTTGGCAAATCGATTTTTTCCGTTCCCCCCCCCCCCACCCTGCGAACGATGGCGTTTTAGTGGAAAGCAGGGGGAGTGGGAGTAGTAAACTTGTTTGCAGTTCCAAAATTGAAATTCTCAGAAAAATTCACTTTGTATGATTTTTATAGGTCGAATATCTGACGACTGGCCTATTAAGCCGGAGAAATATCTTCTAAGCTTAAACCGTATGGGTTTTTACCTTTATATTGCATTTTTTAGAAGTAAAGGGGCACAAGTGCTACTTCTTCTTCTTAACATGCCATACACCAAAGTGCGTAGGCGACTATCTCATTACTAGAATTCTGTTCTTGGCGGCGTGGACACAGCCGCCAAGCTAAGCTAAGCCTCCAGCCGCTAAATGCTACTTAGCAACCTAAAAATAGCTGCAAAATGAGTAAAGTCAAACAAATTATGAGTTTTTGTTATAAAAAATAATAATAATGCCTACAGTTACTAAACAGGAGAAGAAAAAATAGCATTAAATAATCATGGCAATTACAGTGAAGGCTCAACTTCGAACGGCGTTTTTCAAAATTTACTTTATGTCACTTATATCCCTTTATTTCTAGAGTCCTCATATGGCCACAAAAAACGTACTGGGCTGAATATTGGCCTGTCAAATTAAAATCAATGAATTATACGTGTCTGACATTGCGTATAAACCATTGCGCATCTCATGGTGAACTATCAAACGATTTGATAGTTCACGCAACTCATTGCGTGAACTATCAAAAGCTATATAACAAAAGTTTGATATTTGGGACATATAATGCGAGGTGATAAATACCTATGAATAAATGGCAGATGAATCCTGCACGCTTAAAGCGCGTGAAAAGCAGAATGGATATTCTACGAACTATAGTCCATTTACGAATGAAACTAGGAAATAAGCCATTACTAAAATATTGTTTAATTGTTTACAGTGTCCTTTTATAATACCTAAAGGCTCCTCTACACATCAGCAGACGCGTCCGCGGACGACATCTACGTATACATCTGGATATGTGTAGATGGGGGCAATTTGATCATCTGTTGTTTATATATCACGTCCGCGGATGCGTCTGCTAGATATCCGATTGTTCTCGGTTTTTTAGCACAGATCAAAAGGATTCGGTGGGGACGTCGGACGCTTTTTCATACATCTGACCTCTGACTACGCATTAGTTTTCACAGTGAATTCGTAGTAAACGATTGCTTATTGACTTTTGTGTTTTAGTATAAATATTTCGCTAAAATGGTCATGAGTTCTGAAGAAACGTTCAAATTTATAGAGCTATACCAGGCAGAAAACTGTCTTTGGAACCCATTTTTTTAATGCTCGCGTAGATGTTGCGTCTCCCGAGAATTAACATAGACTGAATGATTTACAGATGTGTCCAGATGTGCAGCTTGTGATGATACATCCTCAGATGCGTCCGCAGACGCGTCTGTCGATGTGTAGTGGAGACATAAGACAGACTCGATATAGTTTTTGCATTAGAAAAATAGTGGAAGTATTTATTATTTTCCTGCTAAAAGTCGTTTTTAATATATTGAATTCAGTATGAAATTAAAATAGTTAATGGTTTTAGGATACACTTTTTTCAGTGTACTTCAAAGGCTCACAAAAATAAAACAACCGGAATATTGCCGCCGATGCGACCTCGTCGTCGCGGCTAGTGTTTATCGACTTCTACTTTGGCGATGTTGCCAAGTCGCCTAAGAATACTAGATTAGCACAAAAGTGCATTATTTTCAATTGGTCGATAAATAAAGCCTAATAAATAACGGAAGAGTTTTTTACAAACGTATTATTTGTCAATAACTGTATCTTCAATAAGTATTTTCTGCTAGTTCAACACATTTCAACGATATTTCAAATTACTAGTGTCTGCATTGTAACTTGAAAAATCCAATACCTACCCCGAAAGAGCTACTTACATATCTCTCGAGAGGGAAATCTCGAGATAGAAGAAATGTAGTTCTAAAACACAGTTGTCAAAACTACTCCTACAGACAAAACAGATTTTCTCTATAATATTGATAGTGGAGAACTTTGTTCTTTGGTTGGACTGTTGAAAAGTTTTACTAACAGTTATACAATGTACAGATCTCGTAAAACTAAACTTTTCTCACAAAACTAATGTTTTAGCTCGTTCATGTTGAAATAGGCAACCGAAAAAATATAGGGCATGAAGAACGGAAACAGATTGTACGCAAGATACAATCGAGAGGTATCAACCATCGTCACAAAAGACAATGTCATCTGAGAGAATAACCACGAGGAAACTAACGCATACATGGGGTCAACTAAATCAAAGTAGGCATGGAAACAGAAAAAACCTTGGAAAAACAAGAAAAGAAAGAGTGAGAGCACTAAAATAGATGAAACAAGTTGGAAACAACACTGCACTCAATTTCTAACTAAAACTCGACTACATTTTTCAATTATTGGCGAAATCATAAACACTTTGGATTATGAAGATAATGACTGATAATGATTGATAAGCGTGGGGGAAGTTAAAGAGGTCGTTTAATGACTTAAAAACAAAAGACCTGCGAACTAAAAGGCATTCCTAACGAGTTAATAAAATATGCACCAAAAATATTTGGGAACGTTTTTACATAATTCTTTCGATTCGATGATCTCTCATTAGACTGGACAGAAACATACATTAGTAACATTTACAAAAGGGCGACAGGAAAAAATGAGAAAACTTCTTCTAGTGCGGTTTCCACCAAGGAAGGTTAGCTATAACCATTGCAAATCCGTCTCTATCTTCTGCTTTTCTTAAAAGCGTCTGTATGTTTAACCCGGTCCAGTCGCGAATATTTTTCAGCCAGGATATTTGTCGTCTACCAGTACCCCTTTTTCCTTCGATTTTATCCTTCATAATCAGCTGCAACAATTCGTACTTATCTTTTCTAAGTATGTGCCTCAAATGTCTGTCTTTCGCCTTTTAATGGTGGTAAAAAGTTTTCTGTCTCTTCCAATTCTGTGCAACACCATTTCGCTCGTAATATGATCTGTCCACGGTATCTTCAAAATTCTCCTAAAAAGCCACATCTCAAAAGCTTTCAGTTTTCTCATTAAGTCAACATTAACAGTTCGATACCATAAAGAAAAATGGAGTGGATATAGAATTTTGCCATCTAATATCGAATTTGCAGATTAAGTCTTTGGTTACTCAGAAATTTCCTCATCTTCAAAAAGGCTGCTCTTGACTTGTTTATTCTTGAGCGAATTTCTGATTTCGGATTCAGATCTTCCGTAATCCAGACTTCTAAGTATTTCATTTTGTCCACTTGCTGAATATCTTTATTTTTAATCTGGATCCTTGTAATTACTTTGCCCCTCTTACTGATAACCATGGTTTTTGTTTTCTTTATGTTTATTGTTAAACCAAATTGTTCCCCAGTATCACAAATTGTGTTTAGTAACATCTGCAGGTTTGTCTCACTTTCAGCGATAATGACTGTATCGTCAGCATCATCATCAATCAGCCAATCGCGTCCACTGCTGGACATAGGCCTCCCTCAGTTCTTTCCAGTGTTCTCTACACTGGGCCGCTTGTAGCCAGTTTCCCGCTACACGTTTTATATCATCGGTCCATCTAGTCGTTGGTCGTCCTCGGCTTCTTTTATAGTTTCTGGGCCTCAATTCCATAATACGTCTTGTCCACCGTCCATCTTGTGCTCTGGCTACGTGCCCTGTCCAGTTCCACTTAACCGACGTGGTTCTTTCGATGACGTCTTGAACTCCTGATGTTTGCCTGATTTGTTGGTGTGTTATGTGGTCTCGAAGGCTCACGTTCGGCATTGCACGTTCCATGGCTCGTTGCGTAACTCTGAGTTTTTTCGCAGATTATCGTCAGCATAACGGATGTTATTTATATTTTCACCATTTATCTTGATCCCTTCTGTACAGTTTTCAAGTGCTTGCTTAAATTAATCTTCGGATTATATATTAAATAGTAATGGTGAAAGTACACAGCCCTGTCTCACTCCTCTACTTATCTGT